GGATTTCCGATGCAAGTGACTATGACGTGTGTACCTATAGCTAGTCATTTCTATCGGTGTAAGATATTACGCACGCGTGTGTGTGTGTGTGTGTGTGTGTGTGTGTGTGTGTGTGTGTGTGTGTGTGTGTGTGTGTGTGTGTGTGTGTGTGTGTGTAATAACGGACTAGAACGAGTGAATAACGGTCGACGTGTAATCCTGTTTGACTAGATTCTACAAGACACCCAACGTTTTATCATTATGTATATATTATGTATTATTGTTAAGTACCCATCATACATTTATTTAATTTTATCACTATTATTAAACGAATGCGCTTTTTATTTACTTTGACATGTCCACATAGGTATAKCCGACGCGCCCGGTCATATGTATGATTATAGGTTAGGTTAGGACATTATTATTATACCTACTATACGTATAGGTTAGGTATGTTACAACTTGCAARTTCCTTACGGTCATACATTGGGGAAGCGATTTTAAACCAACCGAAGAGCACTCATCTTAGATTTTATAAATTTATTGAAAAAAAAAATAAACATAAATTATATGTGTATTATCTAAAAAGTATTCGATATTAGTTCGATGATCTTATTCACAGAAATATCATAAGATAACTGTGGTTATATGATTAATAATATAGTCAGTATCCATACATTTGATTACTAATATGATTTCGTGCTAAAAACTGGTCTGAATTTAGGAAGTGGACAAAAGTTGCCGGTATAACAAAACATTTTAACTGTTCATTAATATACAAAAAACATAAAACGAAAAGAAGGGCTTGCTGGTTATTATATAGGTATGAAGTCAGAAGTGGTTCGATTATATTTCTCAAGAGGAAAAAAGCTTAAATACAAGYCTGGCTAGAAAAAWTTATAATTATCAATAACTTATCTTGTATGTACGTTCATATTATAACCGGAGACAACGAACTTTTGCTGATGTAAACTTGCTCTCGTTTTCTCTAGAATATTCATTTAMTCAATAGTAAAATCTATTGACCTGGGACCTGGCCTTTAAGCTCTTTCTTTCGCATATAGGTATYCAAACATAATATATTATTATTATTGTGTGAAATGTATAGGCTATAGCTTGTTCATAAAATCTKATTATACGTTATAGCCTATATAGGTACGCCGTAGTCGTAACACACCGTTATRGTTAAGACAACGGATTTTAAGGACTGTGGTGTACAAATATATGCGTATAATTATAAACGTYATGATTGTCACGAATTTATTTTTGGACTCGCGGTCGCGATCTTCATGATTTTAGATTTGGAACGGCTTTTAGTTGTTTCTTTCCGGTAGGTACAAAAAAATTTATCGAGCGTATAGTTCGTTGACCGGTCGTTAGATCGAAACATGCCGATGACAAGGACGAAATATATATATATATATATATATTAACAAAATATAAAATAAAAATATGTTATCTCAGAAGCAATTCGCAAATTTGCCGATGTCTTAATTTAGGAGGTGGCGTGATGGGACCTATAGTATTCATGGGCACCATGACATCAACTACATATTTAATTACTAATAAGTCAATCGAATTATTTYATGAGTTTGTAATTTTAATCGTCATTTACATATTTACATATTCGGATCGAATTTAAGAACCATACATATATATCGACAGTCGATACCCAAACATTTTGAAATATTCGATATTCAAAAACATTTTTTTATCTCCAATATGCCTAGGTATACACCAACGTATAATAATTACTAATTTTGATTTGTAACTACATTTTTATTATTATTATTATTTTTAACAATAACGTTTTACACGCCTTCCTAAACAGTTTGGTACTACGATGACGACTATTATTTACGGACTTCTTTGATACGGCATAAAATAAATTCGGCATTCTCTATCTTCTTTGTCTTCACTCCAAAATAATCGTAATCTGTGTTGGATTCAGTGTCGGTTTAATGATCTATAATTGAATGCGGATCTCRAATAGAGGTAGGTTCCTACAGTATAGTACACTACTTTCATCTACAAGAGAAATCTTATTCAATATCTGTACTCAATTGAATATMATAATTAAAAAATAGACGGATATGCATTATTGTTAACGGGTGCACATTATAATAAAATTTATGAGTGCGGTCTATTACACAAAGATTGTTATTGACAATAAAGTGATCAAATGTATTTTATCTTTAGACTAAATTTAAGTATCACAAAAACGTATAGGTATTTAAAAGTCGGTGTATTAACTAGCACGATCGCAACGATCTAGACTACTTATTGTAATCAATGTATTGTTTCTAGAATAATTATTAATGTTAGAAAATATGATTGCTAATTGTATAATATGTATAATATGTATATATCTATTTAAATATATTATTGTACGATCTAGGAACAAACACTATGTAGAAGTCACCATTATTGTTTATTGTACAGTGCTATAAACTATTATTGTTATTTAAAACAGCATATTAATTGTTAAAACCTACATTTTTGTTTGAATCTTTGTGTTACGAATTAAGAATTTTTTTAATAATTAGATCTCATTCATTTCACTAGATAATCTCGAATCTTGATACCGAAAAATATCACCAAAAAGTATAAAATCTAAAAACTATATTACAACCATATCACTAAATACACGACTGGYTTCATATAACTCAATTATTTTTAAAATATTGATATTTGAATATAAAACTAATAATTTGGAATACAACTTTTCGATCTTAATGTTTTTATTTTGTTATGCTGTTATGTTATATAATACATAATTATACCTACTAGATATTTTCCTTAATTTCTTCTTAATCATCTACTTACAAATTGTTATGCATTTATTATTTATGAACCTAACTGACCTCGTGGATCTTAACTCATATTATATAGTCTTGATATATTTAATATTATACAATTTAATATTACATTATATATATATAAACATTTAGTGTGTATATTTGTGTATATTTAAACTATATATGAAATATTTATTATTTCTACGATAAAAAAAGGTTTGTAAACTAATGAATGATAACGAAAAATAAATTAACTAAGAATTATAATTATAAATATCATGTGCATTCATGGAGACAATGAACTTATAATTTTTCATGTAAAGGTATACACATTTACGCCATTACACTTCTTTGTTTCTATTTTACTAGTATAAAATGTTTAATATACAATGAGAATATGCTAATATCTTTAAAGATAATTTCTATTAAATAACATTTATTTGTTCATTAAACATTGAAAATCATGAAACTTTATTTATCGCCTACCATCCAGAGGCACGATAATTCCTACCTACCTATTACGTAGTTAATAGGTATACTAATTAGATTATCATATCGAATTATCATAAAAAAATCACGTAATTTAAATATAATACTGAGTTAAATTGTTCATTATGTTCTGTAAACTGTAGGTTCTCTCCCCGTAACCTGTATACTGTATAGGTATAATAATTATTCAATGAAAACAAATTTACCAATGCAAATATGATGGATATACTGCAAAAAATGTATAGAACAAAATAATTATACTGCCTAAGTCAAATAATTTTTCTAATGTAAACGATTTAATATATTTTTTAAGCTTAAGATCTTGATAGCCGATAAAGTAAGAGATATAAATAAAATATATAGGTAGTAGATGCGTTATGAATTTTCAAAAATTTGATTTTATATTACAATATATTATACTATAAAATATATTRTATTTCGTCGTATATAATAGTAATTTAACTCACATTTTATATCATTGATTGCTAACTTGTGATCGTTTAAAATTAATAATTTTACTAGTAWCACAATAAAAGAAAGTTTCGTAGAATAAAAGAAAAAAATAATTGACTACCAACGAAATTTTTTAACTTGAATAAGTCGTGAAAATTTTTCATAAACTATAATTTGTAATATTTATAATAATTTTAGTTTTATACGAAAATCTATTTGAAATTTAATATTTATATTCTTAAAAAGCCCACTCRAWATACTTAATACTTATATTGAGGGTTTTGTAGGAATTTAATATGTTTTTCATGTATGGTCATTCTCCTGTTTACAATTACAGCTACTTAGGTCATTAAAAGTGACTGTCTTAAATACAATTTCATGGTAAGATGCTTGTTGAGAGTTAAATGTAATGTGTTTCTTAATATATTTCAATGAGAGAAYAATTTTTTTAAGATTATATTATTTATATTATTATTTACCATTAATTGCAAMATGTTAATCATCACCCACTACATAAAGTTTTGTGTTAATCAGTTAAATCATTTGAAAATCCATACAAAAATAATTAATAAGACTATAAATTATAAAAAAAATCAGTAGAATTCTACGTATATTGYATTCTGAGTTTGATTTGATTCATGTGACGTATATAGAGGCTAAATTAAATTGTATCGTTAATATTATAATACAGTTGTATTTTACTCGTGTTCGAGTAGGTAAGTACMTATATATTATACTTCGTTAAAAAACATTAAATATTTATTATTTGCATAGGTATACGACTATACATTAATACCTTAGTATAAAAAAGGTTTACCTGTAGGATTCGATGTGTCTTCTATTCTTGTGACAAAAAATATTGTAGGTAGTTGATTGTTTCAGTAGTTTCGAAGACTACTGCACCGCAACTTAGRTATATATATATTTTCAGCGAAAATATGAATATCGATTGATATCAGTACAGTAGTGTAAATGAACGAATAATGTTTTCTCGTATAACTGTCGTTGATGTCTCCTCAACCGCATGGCGTGGTTTGTCTTGACATGATAGTCATTGATGCATAGGGATAGACGATCGTTCTGTTTTTTTTAACCTAACGGACTGCAAAAATTATATCATTAAAAAAATAAATATTTAGTTCAATGCCGTCATTTACGTTTATTATGGCGTTTTAGCATATTGCGCGAATCTCAAAATAAATACRAAATTGAAAACAATCGAAAATCTCTATATTAAATTTTATAGATACCCAAAATAGGTACATACAACATAGGTACACGGATAAAAAATAAATACGTTAAAATATATTAAGAGTAAATGCTTCGACATTATGCTTTGAGCATGTCTGCTGCAGGCTTGAAAATATKTATTTCGCCTTATTCTCGTTTATAAATAAATTAAATGCCCGTGTATCTATATTCTATATGGTATTTTAATAATTTCATTAATTGAGTGTTTTAAGATTCCGTACCCAAGTAAGATATTTTGCGACTTACCTGCGAAATTCGTGACGCGGATTATGCGACGTCAACAGAACTCCACTGCAGAAACGCTGTATTATTAACAAACAACATCAGCGAATGGCACGATGAGTGCGAATTTCCGGCGTTATTACTATTTTACAATAACGATAATAATCTATTGATGTGTGATTCTTATTATTATCGAAACGGMGCGGACCGGACGKGGAAAAGTCTAATCGTGTTTGCGTGCTCAATTTTAAAATCTAATTGCGATATAAAATCCTCGAATTTTGAACGCGCGCGCGCGAAAATTTTAAAAAACAGAAGACAAAACGTACAAGTGCGCGTGCAGAAATCGGCGACGGCTGCGGCAGAGACCGAATCAATGACCCGTTGTTCCGGACGGACCGGTGGCGATTGTGTGACGCTGCGCGCGGCGATACGACAGGTAATACTGTTTTACCGGCGACTCGCGTATCGTGCGCGGACTGCTGCAGCGGTTCTGTGGTGGTCGCGCGCGCGGGATCGTCGACGGGAATCGTTGTTACAGCGGCGCGTCGCTTTCCTTCTGGCTCGCGTTTGATGACCGACGGCGCGCGCGTGGAGTCGTCGACGTCGTCTACTCCGCGGAAGACGATAGCACAGGACGTATAATATTATACCACTGTGCTGCAGCGGGCGTCCGGCGGCCGCCCCGTCAGCTGATCGAGCAAGGTTGCGGCCGCGAAAGTCGTGGTAGTATTATTATACCTCTAATACAAGAAAATGATATACCACCGTACGTATARATATTTCGTACGTATGTATTCGGTACGGTTATTATACCGCGACGTTCTCGGATTCATCGTGGCGCAAATATAGGGGTTGCGATATCTAACGCCGCAGCTAATCTACAGAAATGTTGCAGCACATTTCATTTCGATAGTAGGCTCAACAGAATGGTCACGTCTTGACGGTATTATCAAAATATTAATAACACCACATGACCCCATAGTGCCGACCATCGTTTTCTTTTTTTTTTTAATTTGAAACCATAAATACAATGCCAAGTTATACCAACAATATTCTTATACTGGCGATTTGATGTTGCGAAAATACTGTTAAATTATTTTTTCAGTTGCTAACAGGAAAATTAGCTTAGCATTCGAATTTTTAATTAATGATAAAATACGATGTGATAGGTACGTTCATTTTCCAGAAAAGTTGTAGTAAATTGTTGTTATTATTCTGCGCCAATTGCGAAGAAGGTAATAAATTATACTTCCCTCAACAGTTTTTGTTAAAAAATGTTAGGACTCACGAGCACTTGTTGATTTAATTTTCTATTTTTACATAATATAGTTCCCATATAGTATATAATATATCGACGCTCATCATAAACTTTCAAAATCATGTTGAGAAATCATAGGTATACTGTAGCATGATTGAATCTTAAGAAATTAACGAATAAATGAAAAGAACTCTTAAAAAGAGAAATCTTTTTTTGACTGATCTGGTATACAAATATTCATTTTAACAAGATTAATTTAAAAGTTACAAGTTAATAAAAGACTATTTGATAACATGTTCTTACTGTAAACTGTAATCATTACCATAATCATAAAAGCTATAAACGAGGCTCATTATTCCTTGATAGGCTATATCCACTAAGAACTTTTCTAACGGGTTATCTTCTAGAATTCAAATACTTTATTTTTGCAGGAATTATTAGTATTAGTTGGGTTCTTGTGAACGGGTTGTTCCCGGGATTCGAAATAAATACAACAATATTGGTAAATTATTCAAGCCAAATAAACCAAACCATTTAAAAATATAAAATTAGTCATATTTCCTTTCACTAAGTGTATGATGTAAATATTATACCTAAGTGCCATTAAAACAGGTTAATAGTCATTGGATTCATTTAAATTATGATTAATTGATAAATACCCACAGTTCATGTAACCATCTACAAAAGTCGATTTTTAGGATGTTTAATTTGAATCTTGTAGTACCTGGTACACCTGTTATTGTTTATTGGGAATCATAATATAGGTTTAAAGAAAAAAATGTATTTTAATTATGCTTGTTAATATCTCTTCATTTCCCATAAACCATCAATAAAATAGAGAATATCTGAATATCCATGGTTAAACCTCAACAGCTCAGTTACTTTTATACGCATATTTAAAACGTATGACACGAATCGCCAAGATACTGACCACGGTGTCTGTACTGTATATTATATAATTTCGGTTTATTAGGTATAATATGCTTGTCGTTTTAAAAATGCTCTTGTACCTTTATTTAACTTCATATTAAATATTTCAAGATATATTTTTTTTTAACTATATTGCAATTTGCGGTAATTCTTATAGATTTTTTTGATGGAAGGGTTTTCTGATAAATTGCATTAGTCTCGTCGTCATCGTCGAAATATAATATAATAATACACCTGTAGATGTACCGCAGTCGCGATTATATACGCGCACGCACGTACACACTCACACATACACAAACAAACACAACTCATATATCATATTATATACATAATATAGATATATATGTAGGTACATAAATATCATACATATTAATAATATAATAATAGCAACACACACACACACACGTATAATATAAGATGTTTGGTGTGTGTGCGTGTGCGTTGCAATTCTCTTCCATTGGTCGTTTGTATAGTAGGGGGAATGAACTTTTCAGACAATATAACCGACCGCCGCCGCCGCCGCTACTGCGATCGTCTTGCAACTGCGTACATGTACACAGCCGCCGTTGCCACCAGAATCTATACGCACTAGCGGCGACGAAGACTTCAAACACGCACTCACTCGCGTATAAGTATACTTGCGTTCTGCTTGGAATCATCTCGTGAAAAAAAAAAGAGACGACGGGTATAGATAAATGATAAAAAAAAAAAGAATCTCCAAACAAAACACCACGACTGATGCAGAAAGTACCCAATACCTACCTATGCTTTTTTATTTTTATACACAATAATAATAAAATATTATATTATACACAAGCCGTTTGCTATCGCATTCCATGGAAGATTGTCGTACATTATATTTGTATGTATATATAATGTTTGATTATATATAAATGCATGAATAATAAGCTGCGTATATTATACACATCGTTCACAGTTCACATGTCAATCGCGATCGTAAATGCTTTACATTTATTATTCATACATTTACTGCAGTATACCCGCAGTATATATGCAGTATATACCTTCAAAGGGTAAGCGGTAAACCCTCCGGTTTCCACCTCTATAGAACCTCAATTATATATACCTGTCAATTTGCCTATATATTTTCTCAATTTTCCATCAATCAACAATTAAATGAAGAAATAACTGTAAAAAACAGTTATTAGTTACTACAAGTGTTACACACTTTGAATTTCGTACCTACTACACACAATTTTAGTCCCTGTGGCATAAATGCATAATCTGTATATATTATACATTTATATATTATACGCATAAAATTAATGATAACCATTATTCATATGGTATTTTAGTATGTTTATATAATAGTGTAATTATTTTTGTGTTTACACTAATGCATCTAACACAAGATACAAGAAATATTGACAATATTGTATCATCACTCATCAGGACATTGATGAATGATGATGTTGTAGGGAAAAAGAAAGGAATTATATTTTGAGATATGATCAAGTTTGGAGATTGAGTGGACATAAATGGTCTTAAGTTATAGGTAATAAACCAAATATCTTAAATTCAATTTTACGATTACCGATTAGACAGGATATATGTCATCGATTATACCTTTTTTTTTCCATGTTAAATCACTACATGGAGGCCGAACTGTTTTTACATTGCTTAGCCCCCATGCAGCATCGTTTATTTAAAAAAGATAAATATTTACACATCGAATTAGTCATGACAGTTTAGAGATACCCCTTCCTCAGCAATCTGGTGTATATGCGAATACCCCTATCCTGTTATGATTTTACAAAGTTATACATCTATGGATAGGGATAAGCGGGGCTGGACCCGCTGTATCCCCTCACAGCAATTTATATACAATTATAATATATTTGTTTTTTCATCGTAATCTTCTCGGACCGATCAAGCCCGCCACCCTGGACATCTTGTTCTGTTTTCTCTTCTCGGACCGGACTAAGCCCGCCGCTTTAGAATTCCGTAATGTTGTATTATCGATCCGCTTCTGAGGCCTGTCGAGCCCTCTCCTCTTCTTCCTTGACGGTAAGAATATTTTCTACCATCTTGTAGAAGAGTCTGAGGGTCTCTTCGGCGTTGCAGAGTACAATCACCCTTTGATGGCGACATCATCATCGATTATACCTATATTATACACAGTTAACCTGGGAAAGTCACTTATAAGCTTGGTAGGTACCGAGTATACCTTAAAATTAGTACCTTCTTTATATATAGATAACAGTGATATACGTGTTAAATTTGAATTTGATTATACKAATTATTATTTATTGCATACGAAAAAAAACGATTCTAAGTTCAGATGGGCTGTACGACTAAATATTTCTAACGATATTTATTATTAAATATTTTTATTTTAATTAGTTATTTATTTTTCTATTAATAATATGGAATAGGTTAAACTAGTTTTTGGCAAAAAAAAATTACGTAGATTATTATAATATACCTAGTGACTATTATTATATTATTTTATATATTATATAATTAATTATTATTATTACCTACTTATAGCGTAGGTTCCGTAGACGAGCGTGAATTGGTTTATGGTATATCTATATATACAGTATAAATTATATAATTCTATATAATATATCTGTATGATCGTTGATTTAAGAAAATTAACATGTGAATAATTAGCGTCATGTGAAAGTATTCCAGTTTCCGGGGGTTTTTTTGTCATCCCACCTGGGACATTGAAAAAAACTGTGTTACGTGGTTTCATGAGGATCGAGACAGTAGCCACACCTATACTATGGTCTGTCCTCTTCCTGCGGTACARGTAGTATAGCTACAGAAAAAGTTATGTGCCCAAACAACGCTTGTTTTAGGTGAAAAGCGAGGTTCAGCGGTAATTTTTCCACCCATTGCCGTATGTTTGGGAGTAGRCTGTGAGTCCACCTTCAATTTGGCGATCGGTTCCACCTATATTCTGCCAGAAAACGGTGATGATTGACCTGTATTCTGTTTTAATTGTATTTGTCACTGTGGCGGGAACATCTTCAACGATCCGCTGACGTACCCTGGCGTGAACCACTCGTGTGCTAGAGGGTCTGYTGGTATCATTTCGGAGAGTACCGTCAATGCGTCCCCGGAGACGGTTTGGTAGGTCCTTATGGTGCGGAAAGYCATCGTTCACTGTGCCCTTGACATGACCGCACGGTTTTTTGCCGTTTTRACCGTCGGTGGCACAAGCGGAGCAGGCATCACATATATAACAATTTGCTGTTGAYCACACTTCCGGGAGTGCCCGTTTGTATTGTGAGGTTCGCTGACCTTGAGAATCAGTATTCCGAAATCTGGCCAAAACCTATTCCGTTGCAATTTTAGGAGCCGTGTTGACGTGTTTGACAAATGTGATAGCAACGGTTTGTGACGCAAAATAACGAGTAAAAATGTTAACGGACTAGTCTTTTA